CTCAGGTCACAGGGCAGGCAGCCTGCGGCACGTTACTGCCACAGCAGAGTCACGCTCGCAGCCGCGCTGCAACGAGCAGTCAGGCAAAGCGAAGGGCAGCCGAGGTGGGCCAGCACAGTCACCGGAGATGCTCGGGGCTCTCCTGCCTGGAATCAGCACTCCTGGAGCGCTTCCCAGAAAGCACGCTAAACCGCTGGGAGTGTTTTCTCCTGGAATGAGTGCGTCCAACTGGAAAGTCACTGGAGCAGCAGCAGCAGCAGGATAATTATACTGGGAAATGCCCCTGGCAGATGGGGTTTTGTGGAGCCTCCTGTGAGAGCTGGAAGAAGATGCTGAGGGAACTGGCGATGCTGCCTGCTCCTGCTCCTGCTCCCATGAGGCACAAGAGGCTGGCACGAGTCATCAGCTGTGGGATGGAGCATTGTAGGACGTTTGGATGCCCCTAGCTGCTTTAAACTCATACAGCAGCAAGTGCAACGATAGCATAGGCTGTAGTGGAGTCGTGGTGATAATGGGGAAACTGTTGCTTTAAGCCAAGGCGAAAGTAGCCAGCATTTGTGGCATGAAAGCAACGCTGGCGACTTTCCGGATGCCTGAAGGCTGCACCTCATTTGCATGGCTATTTTTACTATTGTGAAGGCTCTTTTGCAGAGAGGCAAAGGGGGCTGCTCTGTGTGGCCTCTGCAAGGGCTTCGATTGCCAGGAGGAAGGACGTACTGCGACCTCTGCCAGGAGAGTCCTGTGGGGATGTTCAGGAAAGCCGTGTCTGCTCCAGGCTGCCCTGCATGGTCAGAATGATTGTCCTGGCCATGGGGCCGAGCCACAGAAACAGGCTCTGGACAGAAAGCCTGGCCAAGCACGGGTGCAGAGACGTGCCATTCGTCCTGGGGTGGGTGAGGTCCAGTGTGATGACCAGCAATGACCCTCGAGCAATGGTCAGGTTGGAATGACCCAGCTGGGATCCAGGATGGACTGGCGGTAGGGCACGGTGAAACCCATCACTGCCAGCATGCCACCGAAGCTGCCTGGTGCCACAGGCCAGGTGCAGGGCTCCTCGGGCCCCTGCCGACAGTAGTGTGTGCCAAGCTGGTCACCCCCAGCCCAGAGAGTTGAACTCAGCCTGGAGCAGGGGCAGCCTCCCTCAAAAAAGGGGCAGCTGGGAGGATCCAGGGGTGGAGAACTGGACTTAGGAGAGGAGAGGAGAAAAGCGTGGCTTGTAAAGCCTTACAAACTGTGGGCAAGTGGCTGCTGCCTATAAATAGATGGGGGGGAGAAACAGAGAGTGAGAAGAGCTGCATATATGCTCCGGGATGCTGGCAGCGCTAGCACAGATGGGGAGAAGCTGTCCAGGAATGAGTTGGAAATTAGGCAGGAAATTAGAAGAAGGTCCCCAGCCATCAGAGTAATTGGGCACTGGAACAGCCCCTCTCCCCACCTGAGTTTGGAGAAGTGACACCACCAGGGGCCATTTCATTTTATGAGGAACCAGCTTAGTCCAAGAAAGGGATGTGGTGTGCAACAGAGGGCTGTGCTTGTTGGCCCCAAGCTGCCTGTGCAGCCCTGCGCTCCTGGGGTAAAACAGCTGTCCTCACTCACAGCAGAGCCTGCTGGGGCAGGTGCTGAGACCCCCCGTGACTGAGGAGCTGCTGCTGAGTGTTGTTAGTGCAACAGGGACAGCCGCCTCCAAAGTGAGCAGTTGTCTCTGCAGGGTCAGAGCTGCTGCCCCCACCTTTCACAAAGCCCCTTGCAGCAGGGAGTAAATTAGTTAAATTGCCAGGTACGTGCAAGGCAGGACAGTCAAAGTTACCTGCTGTCTCTTGGAGTAATAGGCCAGGGGAGGCAGGAACAGGCATCAGAGTGCATTTATACCATGGGAGGCTGCGGATGCAGAGCCCTTCCTTCCCACCCTCATGTCAGCGAGTCACAGGAGCACAGGAGCTGTGTCCTCAAGAGATACCTAGGAAACTACGGGCCCGTTAGTCTTACCTCAGTCCTGGGGAAGCTCTTTGAGAGAGTTATCCTGGTGCATGTCCGCGAGGGGACGGCAGGGGAGGTGATGCTCAGGGGCAACCAACATAGGTTCATTGAGGGCAGGTCCTGTCAGACAACCTGGTGGCCTTCTACGACCAGGTCACAAAAGCCTTGGACGCAGGTGTCACGGTGGACGTAGTCTTTCTGGACTTTAGGAAGGCCTTCGACACCGTCTCTCACCCCATTCTCATTAAAAAATTAGGTGATTGTGCTGTCAATGCCTACACAGTCAGATGGGTGGCAAATTGGCTGGAGGGCCGCACCCAGAGAGTGGTGGTGGATGGGTCATTTTTGACCTGGAGGGATGTGGGCAGTGGGGTCCCCCAGGGCTCGGTCCTCAGGCCCACACTGTTCAACATCTTCATCAGTGACTTGGACGAGGGGGTGAAAAGCACCTTGTTCAAATTTGTAGATGACACTAAGATGTGGGGGGAAGTGGGCACGCTAGAAGGGAGGAATGGGTTGCGATTGGACCTGGACAGGTTACAGGGGTGGACGGATGAGAACAGGATGGGATTCAACACTGACCAAGTGCAAGGTGCTGCACCTGGGGGGAAAGAACCAGCAGCAGACCTACAGGCTGGGGAACTCCCTTCTCGTCAGTGCAGAGGCAGAAAAGGATCTTGGAGTCATTATTGATGCCAAATTGAACATGGGCTGACAGTGTGGGAACGCAGTCAGGAAGGATGCACCTTGTCATGCATCTACAGATGCATCTCGAGCAGGTCCAAGGAGGTGATCCTCCCCCTCTATGCGATGCTGGTCAGGCCACAGTTGGAGTACTGTGTCCAGTTCTGGGCGCCGCACTTCAGGAGGGATGTGGACAGCATGGAGAGGGTCCAGAGGAGGCCACTCGCATGGTCAGGGGGCAGCAGGGCAGGCCCTATGAGGAGAGGTGACGGGACCTGAACCTGTTCAACCTCCACAAGACAAGGCTGAGAGGGGATCTGGTGGCCATCAATAAACTGGTCAAGGGGGACCAGCAGACAATGGGAATCAGCTAGGGAAAAAGCCCTAGCAGTGAGTAGGGAGCCCCAGCTGTGGGTTACCAGGGCAACCAGAGTGAGCTGGAGGCCCACACCTGCAGCAGGCAGCTGACAGGAAGGGGCAGGGCCTGGCTCACATATAAGTCTCAGGCCTGAGGCCAGGAGGGCAGTTCCCTGCCAGCCCCCAAGGGGGAAGGAGCTCTCCCAGAGCAACCAAAGGGGAGAGGCCTGTCCGCAGGAACCGCTTCTGCCACTGTTGAGGGATGGAGTATTCCCTGCTAGGGTGAATGATGTTATAGCCGGGCAGTTTGGATTTTATGTTATAGCCCAGGGGCTTGTGTTTTGTTTGCTGTTTTACCGGTGGCTTGGGTGAGGCTATTAGGGGAAGGAGAAGGCCTCATAGGAGACCCATGGCAGCATAGGGGACCCCGAGCGCCAGTGAGGGCGCAGTGTGAGACGGGGCTGCGGAGAGCCCAGGGAAGACAAGGGGGCTAAATTATAACAAGGCCCAGACCAAACAACATCAGTACCATTGGCAAGGCTTGGGCTGTGGTATAGGGGAGAAAAAGAAGCCACAGATAGTGCCCCCTGGCATCGGGGCAGAAAATGGGCAGCTTCCCGCTTAATTACATCTATTAATCAATTAACAACAAGGCATGGCAGGAGAGAAGGTGGGGGTTGACCCATAACAGGTGGGCGGGGTCACCAGTAGATGGACCCTGAAGGGGCACTCCTGTTACAGGGAATAACAAGGAACAACGGCCATAAGTTGATGGAGAGTAGATTCAGGCTCGATATCAGGAGGCGCTACTTCACTGTCAGAGCGGCTAGGATCTGGGACCAAATTCCAAGGGAAGTGGTGCTGGCTCCTACCCTGGGGGTCTTCAAAAGGAGGCTAGATAATCACCTAGCCGGGGTTGTTTGATCCCAGTACTCTTTCCTGCCCATGGCAGGGGGTCGGACTTGATGATCTGCTCATGTCCCTTCCAACCCTACCAACTATGAAACTACCCCAAAGCTTCACCATCCCCAGGGCATTGCCAGGTGGTGCAGGGCAGTAGCGATGGATGGCAGCCCCAGCAGGCACAGGGGCACCTCTTGTTAGCTGCTGTCCACCGTGCTCGTCACTGCACCCTGCTCTGCCACAGGGAAGGGACCAGCCGTCACTCAGGTGCACTAATGTGTCTGGCTGCGTGCGTGGCAAGTGCTGCAACAGCAGCACGTGATGTAGAGCCAGGTGCTGCGGCTTTGTTTCTATGTCCTACTGCCTGTTTGCTCTCCATCAGTGCCTGCCTGCCCAGCTCCCACCTGGCCCAGGGACTCCTGCCCATCCCATCCCTTACACCAGCTGAGGAGGCCTGCTGCTCCCCCTGACTGGCCAGGAGCAGGGAGGCCAGCCCACCAGCAGGACCCTGTCCCCAGCTGGCATTGCCTGGCCAGGAGCACGGAGGCCAGCACACACCTGAGGAGTGCTCTGCTGATAGTCTAGCAGCACATCTGTGTCTCCTCTAGGCAGTAGGAGGAGAAGGAGAAAACCCCAGAGGCTCTCAAGAAACAGCAGCTGGAGGGAGGCAGGGTGCAGTGGCTCAGCCCGGCCTTTTCCCTGGAGCCCCTGGCAGTAGCTTATTGCCCCACCTAAGGTGCTGCCCCCAGGGACCTCCCAGCATTCCTTGCCATTCCTCATCGTAGGGGGAAGTGACTTGCTGTGGGGGTGATCTATTGCATCCACAGGATGTCACGCGAGCCTCCGCATGTGCCTTTACCCCGCTGCAGTGATAAAACTCTGATCCCCAGAGCAAGTGGGCTTGAATTAAATCACAGATCACAAATGCCTCTGCATCTGCCCCAGATGCAGGGGATGTCCATCCTAGAAGGCCTGTAGGGACACCCTCATTGCTCAGAAACAGCAGGCTGATGTCCCAGCATTCAAGCAGGCACTGGGGGCAGGCAGCTATGGCCCAGGCTTTGCACTTTCTATTTCAGATTACAGTTGTGACCAGCCAGGCTGGAGCAGAGATAGTGAAGCAGCTGGAAGCAGGGTTAAAAGACATAGATCTGGTGTGTCTGCGGAGACTGCAGGTCGTTGAGATCTCCAGGGGAGACGTCCCTGAGGCCGTGGATGTGGAGTGGAGCGCACAGGCTGCGGATGAGGCCAGCAGCAATGGTGAGTGCACAGAGGGCGCAGGATGCAGTCATTTATCTGGCAGCAGTGCAGCAACCCCTTGTCCTCTTCGTGAGATGCTGGCCCCTCCGCTCATCCAAGGAAAGGCAGCAGGTTTGCAGAAATGCACTTCCCTAGTGGGACAGCTTTAATCCATAGCCTGGGTTCACCAAGAGCCTCACCACCCGAGGCTGATCAGGGAATGGGCTGAGTCCATGCAAGTGCCCTGGTCCTACCTGTTTATAGCTGCCCTCCCACTCTCTGGGCCGCACTGGCTGGGTGCTGGCCTCTGGGGTGATGTGGTCCCAGAGTTTCATCCCACAAGAGCGCACAGCTTCACTGAAGGGATCCACATGTGAACAGAGCCTGGGTGTCGTGTTATTGCAGCTGTCTAGCTGTACCTGTACAGCACGCAGTTTCTCAAGGTGCTCCCAGCATTGGAAACTGCAGCAATAACATCCAGAAACTTCAGAGCCAGAAATCCCTGATCAGTTTTGCCACCTCCTCTCATAGCAAACATTACAGGAGACTCACGGAGCCAGCCAACCAACCAGATTGCTACTTAGAAATTTTGTGCTTCCTTGCAGTTTGGTACCAGAAGCCCAGGAAATGGAAGGCCTCTATCCTTGCCATTTCTCCCTCATATATTTCCTCTGACAAAGCATTTCATGTCTCTGCTCAGCTGATGGTTCATTCTTCAGCCTTCCCTGGGGTTGAGGAAATGACTCCACTGACATGAGCAGGGCTGGTGAACAGCAAAGGTTTGTGCTCTGCCTGTTCCCTCTCACCTGTGCTGCAGCATTGCTCACCTTAACACAGGTTGCCCCAAGCAAAAACATGAAATGCGCCCTTCCCGGGCTTGCTAAGTGATGCAAACTACTCTCCCCTCTTCCCCTCTCACGCTTTTCAAAAGCTCCTGTCCTGAAGCAATCTTCCCTTTCAGTGGGATGGCTGGTTGTACCGGATTCTGCACTTCTTGAAAAAGGAGGCCCCAGGGAGAATGCTTATCCTTGTGATGGTTACATGTCCTGATTAGATAAAAACAAGCTCCATCACCTCCATCTGACTGGCCCCATTACCACTAGGGCTGGAATAATGAGGCACAGGGAATGGGATTGAGGTCCAGTAGTTCTGTGGTAACTTTACATTGAAATGCTCAATGTGCCCCAGGATCAGCGGAGCCATGAATTGTGAGTGAGAACAAATGCATTCGGGAAGGGTTCCAAGGCTGATGCATCCACTGAAAGTGTCTGCCAAGCTTGTGAGCTAGAAGGAAATCATCTGGGTGGCAAGAAATACAGGCCTTCCTGTCAGAGAGGGAACGGGACATGGCAACTCGATAGGAGCATGCTGAGTGCTGTGGGGCAGAGGTCTTGGACCAACCCTCTGCCTCCATTCCCCCGTCACTGACCGCCTGGACATTCAGATGCCAGAGTGATGGGGCACTGTAGGGACGAGCGGATCCCTGACAGCCTCCTGACCTGGTCTGAGCCCTTTGCATAAATCTGCCTTGGGGCATGCAAAAGAGTCCCAGCTCTCACTTTGATGTTTCTAGCCCTTTTTCTTGAGAAAAGTGAAAAAAGAAGAAGTGGGGAGAGACTGGGCATGACTCAGTGTGAGCAGGGGTGCGAAGGAGGCTCCTGACTGTCAGAGCAGGGAGGGGCTGGAACGGCCTCCCTGTGGAGAACAGCTGGGGCAAGAGACCAAACTAGCATGGAAATCATAGAGCCGTGGGGCTGGCAGGGACCTCGGGAGGTCACATCTAGTCCAGCCCCTGCCTGAGGCAGGATCACGCTTAAACAAACCATCTTATACAATCCAGAATCTAACTCTTCATAAGACTGCGTAAGCCCTGAGATAACACAGGACATCGTGCTCTAACATGCCCCAGGGAGAGCAGGGCGACCATAGCAGCCAATGTCCTGCCTCGGTAAAATGCTGTCAGTATATGCTCAAGAGGGTTCAATGAACTCGAGAGACCCCAGGTCGTGGCCATGCCCCTGGTACAAATGAAGGCAAAACCTTCCAGTCTGGATCAATCTGAGCAGGAGGTAAAATCCCTTCCTGCCCCCAGTGCAGTGTCAGGCTGAGCCTGAGCGCAGGGGCGAGACCCTCCAGCCGGGACCCTGCGGGATTGGTGCCAGCAGGAGCATTGGCACAGCACAGTCCCATCCCCAGCCTGGCCTGCAGCACCAGCGCCTCTTGGGGAGGCTTAAAACCCCCCCCGACACATGGGGCAGAAAGCAGGGGCAGGGGCAACCAGCACAGCCCAGCAGCCTGGGAAATCTCCATAGCAGAACATCAGCATGGTTTGGTCGGTGATGACAGCCCATGCTGCTGAAGCTATCCCTAAGCATGAGTGCCCAACCTGAGACACCGGAGTCCTGATGTTTCATCATATTTAGCATCTGGTATAGTTGTAGTCCTTGTAGATAGTAATGGCACGGCTCCAGCTGGGTTTGGCAGCAGCTGTGCTGTTACTGTTAGCACTCAGCCGTCCTGTAGATCTAGCACCTCTTCGTCTCATGGGGTACCAGCCAACGAGGAGCATGCAGCCATAGGATTGTGTGTGCAGGCCTGAACTCCACAGAGGGACTCCCCTGGGGCTGGCCTGTATGATACCTGCAAGATGGACAATGGTCCCCTGCTCCAGCAGCACTGGCCTACCCAGAAGCTGGCAATGTCCTGGGAGTCCTCTCTAGCCAAATCTCTCTCTCACAAGAGCCCGTCTCTCTTCCTCCTATCGTCCTTGGCACACTCACCCCACAGGGCTGGAGGAGGTGGACAGAGCAGTGCCTGGACCAGGAGCTAGGATGGAGACCAGAACCAGCAGCTGGGGTTGGGTGGAGAGAGAAGGAACCACAGTGCGGCCTGGAGGGGACTCGCAGTGCAGGTGCCAAGGTGGATGGTGACCCCTGCGTGGCAGGTTACATCTGCTGTATCTCTTAGCCATGGCCTTGGTATCCAAGCGTCTCACAAGCAAAACAGAGCAGGGGGTTGGTGCATTGCCGCCTCCTCCCCTTTCCCTGCTTTGAGCACGAGGGCATCACGCGTTTGATTTGCTGTGCTTAGTGGGGGATCGTAAGGAGACGTGTTGTGCATTTTCATCCAAGATGCTTCCGGTCCTGGCGGTGGCTTAGGGAGATGTGCAGCACTAGTGCCTTGCCTTGCTCAGGCTAACACAGCCACAAGCAGCTGGAGAAGGGTTTCCCTAGGCTGGGTGAAGCACACCTGTCTCTTCATTTCAGACAGAGGACAGTCCAGAGAGGGCCAGTGAGCCTGTCCTGGAGCCAGCGAGGCTTGGCATGTGGCACAGCCCACCTGGGTTTTCTTGAGGGGCTGTGGTGACCCCGCAGAGGCCATTGGAGGCTTTGAACCCTGGAGCTCTGTGATGGATATGTGAGCCCGTACTGCCTGAGCAGAGGGACGTCATCCTAGTGGGCAGCTGCCTTGCATTCGGTGTCCTTGTGTCACTCACTGACTCTGCACACTGTGCAAGTTGCCGTCCTGGGGGCTTTCTCACCTCCAGCACACAGCCCTTTGCTGAGCTCAGGTGCTGCGTCTCCTACATGGCTGGTTGGGTCAATGGTAACCTGCTTCCTTTCTCCTTCCAGACTCTGAAACCTGCACACTTGTGCTTGGAAACAGCATCCCTCATTTGCAGCCGTGCCATGTGGGCAGTGGACAGTCGCTTCATAGTTGTGCTGCTAGCTTCCTTCTTAGGAGTCTGGCTGTGGATGTGGGGGCACTTGGGACAGGCCGTATGAGGTTGGAGACTGGTCTGATGTCATGTTTTCCTCCGTGGTGCTGCTGATGAGATTTGGGCACTGATTATTGCAGAGATTATGCAGAGGTTTTTTTTTTCCATACTCAGAAACGCCGCATAACATGGGCGGGGAAGGGGAGCTTGTGCTGTAGCCCACTACACAAGGTATGCACTGGCCAGCCTGGTAGGCAGCTGCCTGACCTCCCCACGAAATATCATTGAGACTGTGGCACCATCTGGATTGTAAGAGCTGATACCTGGGACACAGAAGTGAGAGTGTTTAAGCCTGGGAAAGCAGTTTGTGCCTAGCAGTTCCCGTAGCAGTTTCTTTGGAGATTGAACATAAACACACCACATAATTGACCGTTGACATAACTTTGTCCTTCTTGTTTATTGCTGGGGGTTGTATTTAGTCTGTGCCTTCAGCGCCTCTGCCTGGTACAGCCTGTGTCTACACGTGGAGCTTTGCTTCCACCTGCTGTACGCTGCATTCATGACCTCTTTAGCTCCCGCGGGTCCTGGTTTCAGAGCTGGGGAGGGCTGGGGAAATGCTGCTCTTGCAGCTTTGTCTGGATTTCTTGGAGAGAGGCAGGCAGTGGCTCTTCGACTCTTAATCCAGGTTTGGGGTACTTGGGACACGGTTACTGTGTATTCTCTGACACCCATTTCATTTATACCAGCTAACTCAACTCAGTTAATTTTTTCCTTTCCTGGATGATGTGCGGTATTTTTCTAGGGAGATGCCTCTGTGGGTTACTTCCTAATGAGAGCTGGAAGCATGGTTTGTTTTTTGTAGTTTCAGAGATTTCAAGGACAGAATAGACAGCAGTCATTTTTGCAGCACTGGCCATGTCGCATCAACCAAATATTCTTGCATGAAGGCTGAAGCTTCCCACTGGACACCTGTGAGGAAATAACCAATCTAGTTTTCAGATTTCCAGTGGTGGCAGATCCACCACACGCCCCAGGAAGTTGGTCTGGTGATTAATTACTGTGGCGGGCCAGTCGGGGGCGCTACTGCGTTGAGCTGCCCACCTCCCTGCGCCCGACCACCGTCCAGGCTCTGAGTGCCTCCCTGGGGTGCCTCCCGTCCGGCCGACCCCTTCCCTGGAGCACACCCGCTAGCCTTGGGTTCCCGCTGCCACCATCCAAGGCTCTGGACCCAATTCTGGCTCTGCGCACCTTGGAGAACACAGGCCTGATCGTCCAGTGTGTGCTAGACCCAGTACAAACACTT